AGCAATGAATGATGAGCTCTCAGCGCTAAAACGAAATGCCACTTGGGATCTAGTTCCACCCAAACCTGGAATAAATCTCATTGATAGTAAATGGGTGTATAAAGTGAAAAGAAAAGCAGATGGGTCAGTTGAAAGATTAAAAGCAAGATTAGTTGCCAAAGGATTCAAGCAAAGATTTGGTGTTGATTACACTGATACTTTTAGCCCTGTGATCAAACCGTCAACAATCAGGGTCATTCTTTCGCTAGCAGTAACCAAGGGCTGGAATATGAGACAAGTTGATATCCAAAATGCATTTTTGCATGGAATTCTGAAAGAGGAAGTGTACATGCGACAACCACCAGGATTTCAAGACTCAGCCAAACCAAAGAATTACATATGCAAGCTCAAGAAAGCCCTTTATGGCCTGAAACAAGCCCCAAAAGCTTGGCATTCAAGGTTGACTGGAAAGCTTATTGAGTTAGGCTTCAAGGCTTCAGTAGCTGATTCATCTCTTTTTATTCTCAAAAACAGAGAGATAACTATCTATATGCTCATCTATGTTGATGATATAATTATTGTGAGCTCCTCTGATCAAGCAACCGAAAGGTTGATTCAGAAATTGAAAATAGATTTTGCAGTAAAAGATTTGGGTGATCTTGAGTATTTTCTGGGTATTGAAGTCAAGAAAACACGAGATGGTATCATACTGTCACAGAGACGATATGCTTTAGATTTGTTGAAAAGAGTAAACATGGAAAAATGCAAACCTATGTCTACACCAATGGGTTCTGCTGAAAAATTATTCAGAGAACAAGGAATACCCTTATCAGCTGAAGAACAATTCAAATACAGAAGTACAGTGGGAGCACTACAATATTTGACAATGACTAGGCCTGATTTGGCATTTGCTGTCAATAAAGTGTGTCAATATCTTCATACACCTACTGATGCTCATTGGGGTGCTGTGAAGAGAATTCTTCGTTATGTTAAAGGCACACTAGCATTAGGAGTGAAAATTCAGAAATCAACCATGATGTTGTCGGGGTTTTCTGATGCTGATTGGGCTGGTTGTCCCGATGATCGACGTTCAACTAGCGGCTTTGCTGTATTTCTTGGAGCAAATCTAATCTCATGGAGTTCCAGAAAACAGGCTACAGTGTCAAGATCAAGCACCGAAGCAGAATACAAGGCCATTGCGAATCTTACTGCAGAAATGATTTGGATCAAGTCATTACTGAAGGAACTGGGCGTGTATCAATCAAAGGCTCCTCGCCTCTGGTGTGACAACCTCGGAGCTACATATTTAACTTCAAATCCAGTATTTCATGCTAGAACGAAACATATTGAAGTTGATTTTCATTTTGTTCGAGAACAAGTAGCACGTAAAGCAATGGAAGTTCGGTTCATTTCATCAAGTGATCAAGTAGCTGATATCCTGACAAAACCACTGTCTAAAACTCCTTTTACTACACATTGTAACAATCTCAACATGTACAAGACTTGTTGGGATTGAAGGGGACTGTTAGAATTGGTCAATCCATTAGAATAGCTTGAAGTTGGTCATGCCATAAGAATAGGCTTACTTCGTTAGTTTCCTATGAAATCGGATCTATTAGTTAATCTTTTGCCAATATAAATAGAATATGTCCTCAATAGTGTGAGGTACAGTTTTGCATAAACTTGATAATGGGAAGGTTATCTCCTTCCTCACAAGCGCTGTGGAGTTTCGGGATCATCTCTACTTGGGAAGTCTCAACGTCGACTTCCTCGGCAAGTTGGTCTTATCTTCTGCGCCACCCCACGTATCACATCTTTCATCATATCAGTAGTTAAGAACGTGGTGTCAAGTTCATCATATAGTCTACTTATATTTAGGTTCCTCTCGTAAATTTTGGTATAATTCATTCGCGTGCTTATGGAATGTGACTAAGATTCTTAATTTTATTTTTATAGCCAAAAGTGTGTCACATTTTCAGCTGCATTTACACAGAAAAGGTTGAAGAAAAGAATGAAGAGGGGGTGGGGGGAAAAAACTAATTAAGAAATCCCAACCCCCCCCCCCCCCCCCCCCCCCCCC